CCTCTCTCTCTCTGCACCCTCTGCACCCTCTGCCCCTCCGTCCCTCCCCCCATGCATGTGTCCTGTACTCTCCGTGAACGCCGATAGCTCATTGCAAAAGCCAGAGCCTATGGGGCCTATGGCCGGATGCCGGATGCCGCTCGCTTGCGCTCCCTATTGGCGAGCAGCGGCGAGAGCATTAGCATCCAACCGCTTCCGGCCCCGTTTCGACGAGGGGCCTTGTTTTAAATGCCGCCGCCTTTTACACCAAGCGCCCCGGGGAGAGAGGAAGCGGGGGAGAGAACGTTGTCACGTCCTAGCCGTTCAGTAACAAAAACGTTTGCTGTAGTAGAGAAAAAAATAACAGTCGTGTGGACTAGAATTTTGTTTTAGTTTGGTTCCAGAATAGTTTCACTCGAATCACCTTTTTTAAAACGCTCTCTTTAAAGCACGTTACTTCACAATCAAGGTCACGTTTGTTTCTTGATTCAAATTTTATTTTTGCTTAACGAAGTTTTTCTTGATGCAGGCAAAATTAGTTTTGGCCCAAGGCCAAAAAATTCTAGTTCGTCATTTTTGGAGAATAATTTCAGTTCCAATGAAACAGTTTTTTTTTTCTTTTTGTTGCGGGTGCCGGTTGCACGCTGATATGACAAATTGTTGACGCGCTCGTTCTGTGGTGCAGCGGCACTTTCGATGGGCTCTGCCCACGCCATGCCGTATCCTATCGGCCTCCATTATGGAACGGAAGCTTCATTCTGGTTTTCAAATGATTCAAAGTCAAACCTCGTTGTCACAAAGTAGGGTAAAAATGTCGGGGAGAAAGAGAGAGAGAGAGAGAAAAACGAGAGAGAGAGAGGATGCATGAGAAGGTTAAACGCAAAACTCCCCTGCTCGCCAGAGGAGTGTCGGGGCGTGGCGTCGGCGGTGGGTGTGGGCGAGAAATGGCGAGGACAGACCGCGGCAAGATGAAAACGCGGTGAAATATTACGAGCGGGAGTGATGGATCGATAGCTCGGCGTTGCTCTGTTGTTGCGCCCTCCCTCCCTCCCGCCGCCTGTCCGTCTCTCCCCCACTCCCTGACTCCCTCTCTCCCTCACTCTCTCCACGCGGTGCTTGCCGCCGCGCGGGTGCTTCGCGGACTGTTTCCCGACGCTTTGATGATCCGTTGTCTGTCTTCTTTAACAATGCACAACCCCGCCCTTGATTATGCATGGCGTCGGCCCGCTCCGCGCCGCTCCGGCTCAAGAGCCCCGTCTTCATCCCCCGCTCACGGCGCTTGCTGCTGCTGCTGACCGGCCGTTCGTTCAAGGCACGGAACAAGACGAGAGAAGGAGAGGAACAAAACACACCTGGAACAACAAACCGAATTCGGGATAGTCGATCACTTGGGTTCCGGTCGAGCAATCAGCTATGGCGATTAAGTTAGCTTACACGGCAAAAACAGATGCTAGATTTTCAAGCACTCTGAAGGGAGCTCAACATGAAACCTGCTTGAAAACCAAGCAGCCGTTTTTGTTGTGTATGTGTGCGCTTGTCTTTTTTTTTTTTTTTTTTTTTTTTTGGATCAGCTTTGGTTTGAAAGGGCTGCTGTTTTAGTAGGCTACTTAACTTACAGCAATGGCCTGGTGCGCATTAGGTAATAACGATTGTGTGTGTGTACGTGTGAGTGTGTGTGCGTGGGCGCAGCTTTCCTTATTCGAGGCGGCTGGCCTCGGAACCGGCACCAGGGGCGGCGGGAAATTGATTTGTGTGTCAGCCCTCCGCGCGCGCGTTTTTCCGGTTTGTCATTATGAGCAGGACACGCGCTTCTAGAGTGAGTGCGTGAGAGAGAGAGAGAGAGAGAGAGAGAGAGAGAGAGAGAGAGAGACCCAAAGAGGAGCGGTACGTGGATTCAACGTTGATTCCACGTGGATTCGTGGAAATCTCGTGGACGTGGATACATCCACGGTATTTCAACCACTCTTGGCTTTGTTCTCTTGATCACTTTTAAATGCAGAACTATAACTTATTACTGAAAAGAGATGGATAATTTCCCCTTTTGTGACATTGGTTCATTTGAACTCGAATTGGTGGATATCACGTGGATTCCAGGTTTTTTCCGCCACCATGCATCAGATATAAACCACAAAAGAACTTATGATAAACTTGTAGTTATTGCTAAATGTGGTATATAACTGTACAGTTTTCTCAAAGAGATGCATTTTGTTCTGTTTTTCACGATTCATGAAATAACGTGGAAATAACGTGGAATCCACGTGATATCCACTTCACCGTCTATTGCGTTCAACGTTAAAAATAGTGTTCAAAGCTTTGTATACATAATTGAACAAGTTTTTCAATTTTGTCAAGGAAGTACAATTATTAATTAAATTCAAGGCTATACTTCTGAACGTTCAACGCACAACGCCCTTTAAGCCAGAGAGCTGGCTGGGGCGCTGTGCGTGTGCTTTAGAAAGGGATCGGTAGCCGGCGTTCCTCTTCCAGCAGCGTCGCCGTAGGGTAATGGATAGGGTACAAGACTACTAACTCGAAGGTTTCAGGTTCAACTCCACTCAAGGCTGGAAAAAAAGTTTTTCAACCGACGTGATTTCCACGTCGAAATATCGTGGATAAAGGAGTCAAATCCACGTGGATATCACGTGGATACTCCACGTTGAATCCACGTCACAAATCTACGTGGAATCCACGTTCCTTCCACCAAAATTCCTCTTTGGGAGAGAAGAGAGAGAGAGACTGACTGACGGGCAGCCAATAATTCAGCATCTATTAGTTAATGGTGTGCTTTGCTGGGCTATGCCAACGGGTTCGCGTGGCGTCGATAGGGGCGTGACGACGATGCCGCCGCACCTCGCCTCCACCCCGCCCCACCCCACCACACGAGCGCCCCAGGGGAGGGAACGCCCTTTCGGGCCAATCTTTAAGCGCCCCTGCTCCGCCGCTATGCCAGGCGCATACTATCCACTGCTTTCATCGTGAGTGCGCGCGCTTAGGCGGCCGTGGCGGGGTG